CTTCCTTCCTTCCTTCCTTCCTTCCTTCCTTTCTTTCTTTCTTTCGTTCTTTCTTTCCTTCCTTCTTCCTCTCTCTCTCTCTCTCTCTCTCTCTCTCTCTCTCTCTCGACAAAGTCTGTCTATGTTGGGCTCAAACTTGAGATCTTCCCGCTTTAATCTTCCCAAGTGCTTGGGTTACAGATGCGTGCCTCCAGACCTGGCTCTATCAATATTTATCATGTTAAAATTTATTAACCACTGGATAATTTTTTAAATGTCATATCATGAAATAGCCAAAGGTATGTGTATAATAGTTTAGGAGTTATGATATTATGTGTGAACATACAGTGTTTTTAATATTCATTTAAACATTCCTAGAGGAAATACACATTCAATCCTGTGACTTTTTAAAATATTTCTGCTTTTATATTATGTCAGATCTTATTTTATTTTATTTTAGACCATAAAATCTATGAAAATTATAGCTTTCTAAATTTAAGTTCATTTAGTACAAAAACAATTTTTATAAATATTTTATTACTTTCTTTATCCCATTACATATTTAATAAAAGTGTATAACTTAATAGAATTCCCCATAGCTAGAAAAACATTATGTAGCTATCATTTGCATGATTCTATTGTATATAACGTCATTAAAATATAAAACATTTCAAGATTAGCATGTATAATAAACACTGCTCTCTATATTATGTTTATTTCAATATTTGAATGGAAAAAGTGCTCCATTCTATCCCACTACCAGGACAAAAACATGTGAAATGGAACTAACTATAAACTATACTGAAAAAAATGGGAATTTTCTGTATTCTACTCCAGTGGAGCTAGTGATTCATAACAGAGAGTAGGGATGATAAAAATATACATTTGAGAGAAAAATTGCATTTTCCATTTAGTGAGCTGGAAGGCTATCTGTATTTTTAAAACTTACTTGTCTCTTTAGAAGATAGATGTTGTGGGCTGGTTGTGGTGGTACTTGCTTGTAATCTCAGCAATTGGGAGACTGAAGCAGGAGGATCACCGTAAGTGGAAGGCCAGGCTGAACTACATTTTCTATTTCAAAAATGCAGAAAAAGAAAAGATTAATAAAGAAGATACACGTTATAATGATTTGACCCTAAAATATCTTATGCAATCAACAAGAATACAAATTTTAAAATAACCAGAGAATTTTAGTTTTTTTAAAAAAAATATTGGATGTATAGTATTTTGTTATATTGCCTGGTGGTACTAAATGGGTGTACTTATGTCATTATTTAAAAAATCTTCTCTATTAAAAATGTGCATAAATAAAAAGTATCTAGAATATTATTGAACCGGTAACCATATCTTCAAACCAATAGCCTTGTCTACCGATACATCACCTTTGAGCCAATCCTCAGTTGCATAAAGAAACTCTTGGAGTCAGCAAGTTCTGCACTGTCATTAACCTATTATTGGATATGTTTCGAAGTGAAAAACAAAATGTCTACTGAAAATTATTCCAAATATCATCATATACCATAAGCTTACATTTTAATGACACCAAAATTTGTTAGATATTGGAAATTTCACCCAAACTGTATTTCCCACTTGTCAGTAGTAGCTAGAATGGCATTCCCTTGAGGTTTTTATGTGGAGCTATTTACTGGCCCATTATATGTGCTCTGGGGTTAATGTGTTTCCTCCCTAAAGCCTACTAGTAAGAGTTAACTGGAAAAATGGAGAGAAGCAACCTAATTGCTGAAATTTTTCATTGAAATCTGATTTTGGTAATTCAAGTTAAAATGTTCAGTATTTTTTCCTAGGATAGCAATCTTTACAAGGTTTTCAGTTATAATGTCCTTTAAAATGGGATTACATTTCAAATTTAGATAATTTAAATGAAAATGCAAATTATTTTAGTTGAGGGATTAAATCATTTTAAAATTACTAAATTAGTTAAACTGCTTAACTTTTCAAAGTATAATGCCAAGGGCATCATCGTAAAATTGATACATTCATAAATCTGGTGACATACCAAAAAACAGCTTTTTACAAGCAAGTTGGTAAAATCAAACAGGAACTCAAGCATAATTATATTCAATTATACATAATCTAACATCTGACAATAAATGCAAAAATCTATAAAAATCTACACAGATTGTATTGGACACTGATGCACTGTCTAAAGTAATCAGACTTTTCCTGCTAAAGATTTATGGACTATATCCAATATCTAAGGATAAGGAACACATGCACAAAATTGAAAACAATGTCATGCAGTCAAGGAAAGTCATTAAAAAGAGTATAGAAGTGTACCAATAAGTAAAAATCAGTGGAATTTTATGAGCTCTAGCTAAAACTACAAAATATATGTGAATATAAGTAGAGATTCAAAAATTAGAATCATGCAAACTTCTCATCTCTTTAGGGAGATGAAATTGTGGGTAATTCTGCACCCCAAAAGCTACTTCCTACGCTCTCCAGGCTGATTTTCTCCTCAAAATAACTACTATGATAGTTCATGATATTTTAGGTTAGGGAATTGCAAAAGGATGTTTTTATTGCAAATCGCAAGTCCTGAACTCAAACTTTGACATGGTTAGTAAGGTTTCACGATTTTAAAATAATAATTCTAATAACTGCACCAACCCACTAAGCTTTAATGATTATAGACAAAAATCCACTGGGAGATTAAATAGCATATCTAGTCCCAGTTACTTGTATAAGCATTTCTCAAAGGTATACACAGATGTACAGTTTTCAGGACAACCATGAAAACTCCTGTGGGAAATTTTTTTTATAATGTAAAATCAAGAAAATTATTGCTAGACTATCAGCTGAACATTATTCAGCATCAATTACCATGATGATGCTCTCTAATGCTGCTTAGCATGCATTCATATATAATGAGAAACTTTACCTATGATTGCACATCATATCATTTAATGTGTGCTTCAATTACATGCTCCACATGCTGAAAATATATAATATGAATTCAAGATAGATATCAAGTCTTATTGGGTGTTATCACATAGACCTAACAAACAAAATTTCTGGACTTCCTTTCATACAGTCCCAATAAACTGGAAAAAAAAGATTCAATAAATTAAGAACTTATTTTTGAGAAACAAACCCATATAAACAGACACTCAACCTGATAACTCTTTTATTGATTCTCACTATTCAAGACCAATTTTGTTTTATAAAGTTACTAAGTAAAATGAATTAGTAAACATTGAATCATATCTCCTATAGAAAATGCAAAATTTGATTCCTGGGAGATTCTGGGCCCAGAATCTTCCACAACTAATGAATATACAACTTGTTCAACATAGGTTTCTGTTTAAAGATATTTAAAATATATATAATGTTGGTTCACTGACATTGAACTCATGACTAACAATATTATAACTCATACCTGAAGAAAAAGTATAGATTATTTCCAAAATCTAATGTACTATGTCCAGTATCTAGGTCTGAATAACATACGTACAACTATGCACAGGTATTTTCTCCATCAGGCTCATCACAGCCTCTTGAGGAACATTGGGCAGCATTTCGATTCAATGCTATGAGGTTATTTTAAATAACAAAGGCATCACAGAAAGCATAAAAATTATTAAAGAAAGCACTATATAAATCATGTAGTGTTTACAGTGTGAGAGCTGAAATAATGCAAAGCATTGTCTTATATGACCTCAGCTGAGTACATGTCATTCAGGAGACTCAAGTTTTACTGTTTTCTCCATGTCCAGGAAAAGTGCCACAAGTATTAATTTTGGCATCAAAAATAAATTTTAATATATTTGCAAATACAGGATCTGAAACAATGAAGATCTGTTGTATATATTCATATACATGTTATATTTTATTATCATATTACTATAATTTGCTTAGAGATCACTACTGATTCTGTGGTATGTAGCAGAAAGATACTAAGCCCTCAGAATCAATGGAGGAATTTCATCAGGAGAAGGAACTATATTAGTAAACCTGCTATGTATTTGGCTGGCATCATTCTCTAATTTGTCACCAACTAGCAGATAAATGCTTTGCTAATAAAAGTGGTGAAAAGTAAGGGCTTTTTAAATGTTTCACAAATTCAGAGATTATATTTTGTGTACACATCATGTTGATAAATCAAATTTGATTTTTTTTAACATAGTATAACAGGTACAGCCAAACAAAGGCAAACTTTCAGGATCTTGCCCTTGGGTTTGTCTGGCTCCAGAAACCAATTCTCTGTTACGTTCACTGAAGTTATTTGAGAAATATAAATTTGAAAATAATATAAATAGTCAAGACTAACTGATATCAGTCAATCAACAATAAATGATCAATAATAAATTATGAATGTCCAAACAAATTTTGCAAATATCCCTCTCCAGATTTCTCTTGGCACTCATTTGAATTAAAAATGTAATTATTTCTTTTCCCTGTTTTCCTTCCTGTAGAATTCAATGCCAACAAACCATCCTGAAGTTGGAGGCACAAATCTTACAGGTCCAAATGAATATGGTAAATACGATTCTTCTGTGGCTAACCATAGAGGGACCTGAAGCTGTATTCTTTACCTTTCAAAGGAAATGACAGCAGATAAAACTGCCCTGGGCTAGAGCTGTGCCCATAACTCACAAGGTTTTGATGCCAGCAGCCCAGATGAGAGCAATATGGAATCATTTCTGACATCCTTGATTCTTTGAGAACAAAATATATGCCTCCTAAAGTAGCCATATATTCAAATTGGGCATCAAGAAGAAACTGCATTTTCACTTCTCAAAATACTATAACTCAATAATCCTTCAAATAAAAAATTTGGAGCATCTGTGTAGCATTTCCTAAACTACTGAGCAACTATACTTCCTCCCTTGAAAATTTATCAAAACTTATTCCCTTAGCTTCTTGTTCCTACTGTTAATAACAGCAGGAGAAGTCATCAGAACCCAAACAGTAAAAGTTATGGTAGCTTCTTTTGCCTCTCTCTTTCCACAGACGCTATCATTTCATTCCTAACAAATTAGGAAGTATTTCATATTTTTCTCAGTATTAAAAAATCAGTACCAATATCCACTTGTCACAGTCAATCAAAAACTCCTGGTCAATCCAAACAACTTTGATCAAATTGTTAGCATTTGATACCTTAGCAGCAGTAGAGAAGCACTATTGAAGTGAATGGAAATGAGAATGAACACATTTTCAATTTGTACTTTTTCTGGTTTATTTCTCTCTTTCCATACTTTTCATAGTCAAAAAATAACTCTTGTAATCACTATTCTATTTGTTGTTATACTGCTTTCAAGTTTGTTTTTCTATTCTCAATAAGGAATCACTTCATCAATTTTACCAGATGAAATTTAGCAATTATATCCTTAATCTGTATAAAAGAGATGGTAAAATTAATTGGTATACCTTAGAAGAAAAAGGCAGTTAAAGCAAGTCATACCAACTATTGCTGCTTTAGTTTTCAGGTAGTTTTGTGAACTCAGTTTTCAAATGAGAACTGAGCTCTAAAATCTTTCATATCATATGTTGCTGGACTATTTTGTAATCCATATTTTAAGTTACTAAAATACCTCAAATTCCTATTGAGTTAGTACTTCTAGAAAATAGTTATATAAATATAACAACTTTAAAAAATATGAGATCTGCTCTTTTCTTTAATAGTATGCAGAGACTTCAAGGAGTCAATACTTCTAAGAAGTATTCTAGAATGTATACGTGAATACTTGCAATTTATGTTTGTCTTTTGCCAAGAACTTAAAGGAAAAAAATATGTCAACACACAAAATAAAGCAATTGTAAAGCTCCTTTACTGAGTATGAGAAAAAAATGGATGATTTATTATCAATTCTCCAGATCTATTTTCCAAATCTCCCACCATCAAACTCCCCTTTCCCAAATCATCAGAAAACCTATTGAACTAATATATCTAATGGCTTGGGGCAGAAAGGGAATACAATGCTCCAAATGGAGGCAGTATAAATGGTTACAGGAAGGGGACAGTAGGAGAGGATAACACTAAGGCTACAGGCTCAAGACAGGTGATTTTTCAGGCAAGTTTTGAAAGTCAGAGAATTGGTTAGGAATTT